TCGATCTGAGCACTCTGGCATTATCACAACCCACATATGTATTCGGTGACCCTTTGTACCAATATTTATGCGTTCAAATAAATAAATAAATAATCTATCTCTAGTTATATGAACAAGTGTTACTATTAGTATTCTATTTTAACAAAATTACAGATAATTTGTTTATAAATGAATGAATAAAATGGTTGTTGTTTCAAATCTCTTTGGTAAAATTATACGTCTAGAAGATCTATGTTGTTTCTAAAGGTAAGGCAGGCGTTTTTAACTTACTAGACTTTCTTTCGAATAAACTTTTCGAAAACGCCATCTTTACTTGTTGACGACTTCATAAGTTAGTAGATAACCAGCTAGTAAATAGCTGATATTATTGTTGAGAAATCTTCATGCTAGAAAATAAGTGAAATGAAGACAAATGAGATCATAAATGATTAGTCAGTTATTTAGAAATTGTAATCATTATATCACCTTGAATACTTCTATATAATAAGAGGAATAGATATAGCTGAACTAATTCGATGTCTTTTAAAAGCTTCGGGATTTATAGATTACATTTTGTTGAACTTTTCTGAAGAGTTTTCAGTAATAAATTTCTTTGATTTATTGTCTTAAAGTAAGTGCATGTTCTTTTTTTTGGTCCCAGTAACCATCGTTTATCTGCTTTGAACAAATCATACATTATAATCACTCATTACTTGATTATTTCCTTTATTTTCAATCTAAAACCTATTTGGTATCATTATCTATATACATATTTTATTCAGGAGTTTTAACCCACTTCTCTCCTACAAATGTAATTTATTAAACGTGCATACAAACAAATGAATGTACTAAAAGCATGACTATCCCATCGGCTGCGATGGAATCATTCTTAAGATAACTTCTCAAATTGAAGTCCTTGTTGTGGTGAATTTGTGAAAGAGAAGGAAGATAACTGAAAGAACTGATGAAAGATGGTCGCGCAATTTTGTGGATTGGTTGATGTTATACACTAACACCATTGGATGCCGGCTCAGTGGTATAGAGGTTAAGAGTTCGCGCGTAAAACTGAAGGCCCTGGGTTCGAATCCCGTGAGCGGGACCGTGGATAAGCATTGCTGAGGAGCCCCATAATAGGACGAAACGGCCGTCCAGTGCTTCCAGGTTTCCAGTGGTGGTCTAACATCAATCGATTCATGATCTCAATCAATAACTGAAGGAATTATGAGAGTCAGATTAAACTTTATATCATCATCAAGTATTCGCCAAACTTTACATTATGAAGGGATCAGTAAAGAATACTTTAGAAAATAAATATTTATTGGTGTTAAACTGTAAAACATAACATCAGGAGGAATGTCTACTTATTGTGAGATGTTAATAAGTATTTTATGAATACATTTATATAGCCTTGAACTTTTCATTTGCATCTTTCGGAGTGTTCTTCAGTCTGAACGGTCTTCTCGTCCAGTCTCCATGCGTTTTGTTAACACCTTGCTTTCGATGTACTGAAACACTTCTTTTTTTTAACAACTGTTGCAACTTCAAAATCACGTTCGGCTACACACTACTTACAAACAACTCACTAAAATATTTTCGTTTCTGAGAAAGCGTGACTTAAAACCATAAAACAGTGGTTCAGTACTCAAAGTTTGGGAGGTATTTGAGAAAAATAGAGTCAGTTGAGTAATGATTATAACAGTAATTCATTGATAATAGTGAATGAAAATAATCTTTTGTCTCAGCTCCATATAATTTGAAAATATAGACCATCCTATTGCAACTAAATGATTTGTAACTGTTCTACCTATAACAAGATAAAACAGTTCTGGGTTTAGTGTCACGAAGAATTTCTAGAGACTATTACTGTTGAATCTCAGACTTCAGTAAAACAAGCCTCCAATATTTGCATACTCTCAATTATTATCTATCTGGAAACCTATTTTGATAAAAAAAAAACCTTATACAAAATCGTAAACAGAGATAGATGGATAGTAGCTAACAAAGAAACAACAAATACAAATGAAGTATACAACATTGTCAGTTAACTTAAGTAGCAGATTTTATCAACTATGGTTAAATGTAAAAGAAGTAATAACCTACAGTATCCAATACTCTAGTCTATAATGTTTGTCTATTTGATAATCTACCTGTCATAAATGGAAATATTCAGTATTAGGGAACTTATACATTCACTAAATAATGTACAAATTAGCTGAGAATAATGCATTCCAATCATTCTTTATAGTACGAACAGCCTTTAAATATATGTGTTTCCTATTTTGATAAACATAAAAAATGTTGATTATACTGTTTATAACCCCTATACTGTATAACATTAATAGTTTTCACATGCATATGTGTAGTAAGAGCAAATGTTTTTAAATTCATTTGATATTGTTTTCTTGTATCTTCCTATTGTTGATTAGGGCTGTAAGTGATCATTCTCTTGTTGACATATGTGCATTCTATGCAGATTGCCTTGACCATGCCTTAATTCACAAGCATTATAAGCTAAGATGAATGGTGACTAACAGTGGAATCCAAGACACGCGTTTCATCTCAGTTGGGATTCGTCAGCTGAATGTGACCGTTTTTGTATAAAATTTTGATGATCGAATTCTTTGACTTTAACAAATAATCATGAGAATTTTGAAGGATGTCAATAGTTTTTTTAAATCAACAATATGAATATGTCTTGTAAAGAAACCTTCCTGTTAAAAAGTTAAACAAGAGTTTACTCAATCTATAAAACAATCAAACGCGTTTTTGTGAAATTCATAATGTAAACTTAAACTTACATTAAACAATGATCAAAAGTTGACAAATTAAGATTAATTGTTGTTGGGAGGAACTGAAATCACGACGATGAGGGGAAGATTTTATCCAGCTTCCATAATAAAACATGACAAAATATTGACTAGATACACTCATTGATTAAGAGATTTTATTGGTATTTAATGATTAGTCAGTAAATATCAAACATAATTGAAATATCATGCAATTAGTTCTCTTTATGAATTATAAATAAAGCCAGAACAAATATTGATGTAGAATAATATGAATTCATTTTATTTCGTGGTTTCTTGTCAGCTGCTTACAACCAAATATGTATTAGAATTTGACATTGAGATAAGAAATAGTATGGAACAATTGACATAAATGAATGTAAAGGATTGGAATGACAAAGATTATCAATGATAACTATATATATTGTGATACTTTTCTTATTAGCTCCAACTGCATTTACCAATTTACATGTACGTGCCAAAGCACATACATCGGAAGAACCGAGAGAAGTGTACATGTTTGCATTTCTGAGCATGTTCCAAAGAAATCGAGGCTGCGAGGGATTAGGGCTCTCAACAGTGCAATAGCTCGGCATTTACTTTACACCGGGCATACCATTGACATCTATGCTTTTAAAATTATCATCAGACAAAGAAGTACGGCTGCTCTCCATCTTGCTGTAGCGATTGCGATAAAAAAATCTTAAATCGAATCTACGTATTTAAACAGAGACAGTAGTAAACTTATTACTGCCCTGGTAATCCAAATTTTTGTGTGTTTATTGTTTTTTGTTAATATTTAGTTTGTGTTATATTGTGTTATATTACCGAATTCTTAAACCAACCTTTCACTCACACGTTTCCACTCACTTGGTTCTCTTAAATTATGTGAACTCTTCAAATTCCATTCAATTATTACGTAACCCAATCAAGGCAATTTGGGTCAGTAATTACAATGAAATAGGATAAGTCATCACACATAATAGATAAAAGTACAAGTTCATAGTAGGAAGACAGGTGTACTGATAGTAGTAAGAATAATAAAATACGATAACAAAAGTCTTATAAATAGTTAAACATTGGAAATAGTAGGTCAAACATGGATAAATGGACTAGTCATCACAAAACATTAAAATCATTACATAATAAGAAGTGTGCAAATAATTAGATAGTGAAGAATACAAACGGAAAGAGGCGGATAATTCCAAACAAATAATGGATGTGAAATAAGGTTAATGATATAATAATAATAATAAAGAAAAAATAAAAAAGAAAAAATAATTAATCGTTATTTAAGTTATAACTGGCCATGGAAGGGATAGGGGAGTTACAAATTTCTTCTGTATGTACGAATTCCTATGGCTTCAGCTATATGTAGGAGGCGGTAACGAACTCCGTTGGGAAATGATGGAGGTATACGATAGATCACTCGAAATGATTTCGATTTATCTACAGCATGACCACTATCAACAAGATGTGCCAGGATGGAACTGCGTACTGTTTTTATCTGGCCAGATATATGTATATTAGAGTAAAGCCTGATGACGATCTAATTGAAAACAATTGTTCGCTTATATATGTTGTTCTAATTTTCACAATTTATTTTATCTGTCTCTGAACTCCACCACCTTGATTCTAACACCTAATAACTTCTGACCTGTTCTTGCATATATATAGTTATCATTGATAATCTTTGTCATTCCAATCCTTTACATTCATTTATGTCAATTGTTCCATACTATTTCTTATCTCAATGTCAAATTCTAATACATATTTGGTTGTAAGCAGCTGACAAGAAACCACGAAATAAAATGAATTCATATTATTCTACATCAATATTTGTTCTGGCTTTATTTATAATTGAAATAATGGGAATAAATCAATGAATATTTCGCTGCAATAATACAAAATAAATACTAATTGAATATCAAGAATGTTATGCTGAATAAATACCACAGGAGATTCAAACATATTCTTCTATTTCATCTTGTCCTTACACTATAGTGACTTGAATAGTAATATATTTATAATAATATCGATTTATTTCAGTTTTAGACACAAGAGATTTTCATTGTATCTAACTATGAAATGTTAACATTAGAAATTAGTATTAAGAATCATTTAAATCTAATCATTCTATCAAAATAGAAGAAAAATTAGTTATTTCTTTATATTATAATTTGACTTTATTTTCTCATTTATGTTTTGTTTTGTTTTTCATTTAAAATTTTATAGTTCAACAAGATCTACTTCTGAAGCATTTCTTGCATCAAATTATTTTGAACCAGAATTCGATAGTATACAATTACATCGACAATATCCACATAATTTATTATTAGATGATAAAAAACGATCAATTTGGTATTTAAATAAAGATGAAAATTCATTGCCATCTGATACATTATATGAACCATCTGCTTCACATTATTATCAACAAGATAATTTAAAACAAATAAAAGAAAATCAACAAATTAATAAAAATAAAATGATCATTTCACATTTACTTACAGATCAACATTCAAAATCTGATAGTCGTTTAGATTTAATTCGATCGATTGATTTAAGTGATGATAGTTCTGATATTGATAAAAGAAATAGTTTAAGTGTAACTGAACCTATAGTAAAGTCAAATGAATTATCACAAATGTATAAATCTCAAAAAATTCATAATTATCAGTCATCTATTGTGTAAGTAATCTATTTCATACTTATCTTATTAGTTTGATGATGTAATTATATATATGAATGAGATAGCCAAATATTGATATTATACCAAACACTTGAAATGAACTTGATAGTGATTTAAATGATATGAATTGTTCATTATATAATATTAAGAATTCTTAGCTAACTATTCAATGTATCTTATCCTACTTTACACACATTATAATAGTTACTAAGTTAATGAAATGCTTTTGAAATGAGTATTTCTTTCAAATTTTGTCTATCTGTCAAGATAAATAGTACAAAACATAATACAATCCAATAGACTTTTCATAACATTATATATATATATATATATATATATATATATATATATATATATATATATATATATATATATATGAATCATGAAAAGACTATGAAGGTAATATTCTTTACTTCATTTCTATTATCCATTGATAGACAGTAGATGTCAATAACCCGAACTGATTTTGCCTTTATATGTAATATTTATATTATATATAATAAAATAATATATTTATAATATCCAAATAAGTAGAATAATTAAATTTTCTGACATTTCGTGACTCAGTGTAATCCATTACTTCAGAGAATAAATAGCTAAAATAAATTGATACAAATAGATCAGTTCTATAATAGGATAATTACGATTTGAATAGCTCATTGTTAATATCTATGATTGTTATACATTAATTGAATCATAAAAATCATAAATCCCCTTTAGATTGAATATATAAAATCATTTGAGATAGTTATTGAAGTGCTCTATCTTTAAATTTTGTCTCCGAAGTATATATATATATATATATATATATATATATATATATATATATAATGATACCGCCAATTAGAGAACAGTGAATTATCGACCGGATCAATGACGCATAAAACCCGTACGAGTAATCTAGAGTCTTGATCAGTCCTACTTCACGCATAGCCCTGTTTGTTAAGTCTAGAGCATCAATCTCAGCTTCTGAGATATGAATCATGTATTTTAAACATACTGCGTTTATATACAAACCAAACAGACCACATCGCATCATAAAATAGAAAATAACATTTCGTCGAATTGACTGTGAATATGGGAGATAGTAATAATTCGAGAATGGTAAATCGTATAATAATAGTTTATAGGTCAAAGTAAAGCTTGTAATTTGAGGAGTATAGATATACATAATCTAGCTACTAAATAGTTATACATTAAGAATATATGTATAATATTTGTCCATAAATAGTTCTCAAGAGTTACCATTTATAATTCTCGCCGGGATATAACAGATTCATATATTCATCATCCACAACCTTCTAAGACAATTAATTACTGGTCTACACAATTTGCAAAATGCACTGTATGAGACAGAATTAAGTTGTGAATGCTAAATTATCTTATAAACAATACAGTCCCATTTAACCATTTAATATAATTAAACAACTGAGTGACATAACTTCGGTGATATGTAAGTGATTACTCTCCATTGGTTATGTGTATATTAAGCAAGCTCTCATTCATATGTATCATTATTATATGCAATTTTATTTCAATATATTTCGTTTTTTTTTCTTTTAGAAATCCAATTGAACATAAAACTATTTCTCGTACCAAATCAAACACATTAGGATCACCTATGAATATTAAAACAATCAATTCACATTTATATGATAATATACAAAGATCACATAATAAAAAGTCTAGATCTAAAAAAGTATCCACTTCTAAACATAATAAACATGAACAACAATTTACTGAGTTAAATACTTGGTGTACATGGATTCGTTTAAAAAAGACATCAACAACAGATTCTTATGGAATAGGTGTATCTGAAGGTTTATCTACTATGGGTATATTTGTTAGTGCAATTCGTCCTAATTCACCAGCTGATTTATCTGGTAAACTTTATCTATATGATCGTATTTTAATGGTAAGTTATAATGAATAAATAAATGAATTAATGTTCATAATATATAGTGTAAGGTTCAATCGTTTTTAATAGGAGATTGTGAAGAAAAGATTAAGTAATTTATTCTGTTGTATCCTTCCAAAGCAGAATGAAAGGACCAAATGAAAAAGAAAAAAAACATAAAGGAAACATTATCAATAGACTTTAATTACACTACTACAGTATTTATCAGTTCTGGGTTGTGGAGATCAATATGTTTTCGATTGAGATCATGAATCGATTGATGTTAGACCAACATTAAAAACCCGGAAGTACTAGATGGCCGTTTCGTCCTATTATGGGACTCCTCAGAAGTGCGCATCTACGATCCCCCTCGCGGGATTTATTGACCCGTTTTGTTAACAAAAAAACAATCTTCTTTAAAACGCTTGGTGTATTCTGTAAAAACAGTTGAAGATGCCACAGGTATTTGGAGTTAGACAGCGCCCTAACAAGTAACACTTATTATGGATCGTGCCTACCCAGTAAAATCAAAAGTCAGAAGCGAGTAGGTTCGAAGATGTATTTGATAGACTATCAATATATTGAGAAGCGACTGAACTAAACTGGCTAGCGATTGCAGAAGAAGTTGAGCACGGAGTTCTCACTTGTGATCGGGGGCTGATGCATGACCGAGCGCCTTCTGCTAGGTGAGTCCATTAAAACTAATGTGGTCAGTATCCAGTGTTGATGACTTACAGAGCTATTGATTTTGGGGATGTATTAACCATTACACAGTAACCTAATATAAACTGTGATTAAACCTTTTAGTTCATACAAAATGATCAGTTTTTGGCAGTAAGTAAAAATATCTATTTCATTGTATTTTTAGAAAGTTTGTATTTTGTATTTTCAATGTACCGATTGCCTATTAACTATATTATTACATGTAGCCTGATTACCTTATAGTTTTAAGTTAGTTGTAATCAATTTAGAAATCAAATATCTTTATATTAAATTTCTGGAAAATGTTGTAAGCAGTATTTCGTTTGACTGATCTATAATGTACTTCTTTTAATTTGATGTGGTTTTTCTTAGGATTAGTTCAGTTTAAACATTCTTTTCATAACGGTTTGATATGAACAATTAGGATCAAAGAACAATGAGTAGCTGTCTCACCTTGAGAATCTTCAACAGTGTATGCCCTCTATCTTATATAGGATCTAACCCTGGAATTTATTACTTTCAGACTATTGAGTTGAAATTCAATAATCCAGATTTATCTATCGATGAAATAACAGATATCTTCAAATTAAATTAAATTAATATTTTTAATAGTTGGGATCATGAGTCAAATGAAGCTAAACCACCATGGAAAATCTGGAAGCGCTGTACGGCCGTTTCGTCCTACTGTATGACTCCTTAGCACTGTGCATCGACGATCCCGCTTCGCCAGAAAATATGAAGTTTAGGTGATTTGAAATTCATGACTGGTTGTTTAATCTTTAAAAATAGGATTTACTAAGGTGTTTTTAGACCTTTTTGCATCATTAAAAGACTACTAAATCCTGGGATTTAAACTATTTATAACTATGATTGTAGGAAAATTTATCGGATGGTCTTTTTTCATCTTTTTTCACCCACTTGTATAAATGTTAATAAATAAAATGTATGTAACTACAACTTGCTTTAGGACAAATTTTCTTACAAACGTTTTTAAATTATAAAGAAATATAGTAGAGTTAATTGATCGGTTCTGTTTTCTAACTGATTTGGAGGTGTAATAATTACTAAACAATATTGATTATTGATTCTCTAAATTTTGATCTTTCAGAAAACATATCTACAACTATTCTCACTTAATTAGCTAGTATATGAAAACGTCATCATTTTAAATGAGGTTTTATTCAAGAAATGACATCGACGAAACAACCATTGAAAATCATGGAGGACTGGGAAGCTATTTCATCTTAGTTTGAAGCTCTAACTTAATGTACAACCACTACCTCATTATTGATCGGACTTAGGACCTTATGGTTCAAATTAGAGCAAAACATATGCATATTTCTTCTACTATTCACATGTTATTCATTAGTTTGAATGTTTACTTTGTAAATAATTTGAGATTACCATATTTGTTTTATCTATTTCAGGTCAATGATACACCAGTAGATAGTTTAACATGTAGTGAAGTGGTGAATCTTATTAGTCGTTCAGAAAAACGATTAGATTTACTAGTACAACGTCGTATTACAAAGCATACACAACGAAGTAAACATTCACATCAGAATGATTCCATTGATCTACCGAATAACACTTTATTCACTGGATTAACAGGGGGGGTCAAATTAGGTGTTACATGTACACCTACAATGGATAATGAACATATTAACATTACAGCTCTTTAAATATATATATATATATATATATATATATATATATATATATATATATATATATATATAGTACAATGTATCATTCCTCCTTCTGATATATTTGAAAATCTTCCTAAGAAATTTTACTTATTTAACATGTATGGGATAACTATAACTGAAGAAAGTTTAACCCGATGTAATTGTATTTTATTCTTATAATTGTATGTATATATATACTACTATTACTACTACTACTACTACTATTACTATTACTACTACTACTACTACTATTACTACTACTACTACTACTAGTATACTACCAAATACTTGTTTCTGTTATGATTTCTGCGAAACATCTTGTGATTTTTTTTTCTGAATATCACGATTACTGCTTACAATTCAAACTTATTTCATTTAGATGAAATATTTTAATTCAATGTAACTTCAACTTTGAAATGAATCATAATTTGTTTAATGTTTTCTTTTTTATTTAGATGAATAATTTACGTTAATTAAGTATGATAACAACTTTGTTGGTTTTGTTTTTTTACTTAGAAATTCCTGTATCTTCATTTATTTTTCATTATTATTAAATTAGTAAATTATCTATCTATTCATTAGAAAGTTGAAACATTGAACACAAATGCTTGTTGTACAAAAATCATCAATTAGATCTCTTTTAATCTGTTGTATTCCATTAATGTACTTAAATACATTTATGTTCAGTAAAAAATAGATCATTTATGCATATAAATAAATATGAATACTTCATGCAGAATAAACTATTAAAAAAAACTGGTCACCTAACTTATCCAAAAGCTTAGATATTTAGAAGAAATTCATTGATTTTTTTTCATTCTTTATGTTTTCTGTGAGTGTTTTCTTTTTTCCTTTTGTTTTTATTTTTCATTTTGTCTCTGTTAATAATACACTTTGTCATTTGTTTTTATTCATTTCTGAGTTTGAAACCCAGTGATTCTTTTATTTTTTAAGTGATTAGTTATGCCTTACCAAGAATTAGTAATTGTTTTTCGAAAGTATGTTTATAGTCGTTCTTCTCATAACCCTCTACACATTATTGTATAGTATTGACATATTTACAATAATGAAAGTTTAAATGTAGTTTTTAGTGAGTAGCAAATTTTTCTTGTCATTTATGTGATTAGTGTCAATGTTGTGAACAATTGATCCGAATGTAGAAAACGTAATATTTTACGCATATGTGTAATTGTTTTCTATTATATTGGCTTTATTAATTAGGAAACAGATTTCATTGTCTATGCTAATAACTGATAAATCTCATTGGCATATTTATAACCTGAGAGGATTACTAAGATACTATCATACAGTCATAATTTCTAATTAAGTTGAACAGTGGCTAGAAGTAGAATCTGAAATGCAATTTTCTTACTATTTTCGACTCGTCAGCTGGATGGAACCGAATTCGAATCCTGATGTTCACACCGTGGCTTGCAATCATTGTATTTTGCTCCAAACTTACATATCGTTATTCATTGAGCGACCAAGGTTTAGATAGTGCGTTGAAGGTTGGGAGCAAAATATACTTGGTTTATGTCCAGGTGTGCACACAAAAACCAGGATTTAGTTACTTTCACCGAATGAGTCTTAAGTAAGACAAAACACTAGTCCTGGATCCCACTGCTAGCCACTACTCAACTTTACTAATATGTAAATTGTTTAAGGCTAAAAAACAATAAAAACTGAATTCTGCTAACATATAAAGGAGATGTTAAGTCAAAATAATATTAAAAATACTAGGTTGCATAGTTGATATATATTCGGCTCGGAGGCAAAGTAGTCAGTCTTTTAAGAAGTCTGTAAAACTAGCACACTTAAGGTGACCAGAAGGAGGAAATGCTGGTTGGAAAGAATGTTGTATTTGATTGAAAGCAGGGTAGCGTTATGTTGTACTTCTATACTGGATAGTTAGGGCATGTAAAGCATTCTACAGCAGGTTAGTGAAAATATCTGACAGAGAATATTAGAATAACTGAAAAATTATCTATTTTAAGGAGAAATATTTATTAACACAGCCTACCCCCATTTCCATGAAGGTTGCGAGAATCCTTACATCTAACAAGGTAGAATTATAAACAAAAAAGGCTGGTCGTTGACAAACACTCTCTAAATAGCCAGTTTCGTTACCAGAATCTGAGCGTTTGTCATGTGACACATCATAAATAAAAATTAGAAATAAATGAATTCTCTTGTTCCTTCCTACTATTCTCTACGTTTTGGTGTCAGCCTGAAAAATAAAGAGGAAAAATGTTCGTATTTCAAAAACGTTTGTAATTATGGAGGAGTGTTTTAGCTTCAAAAACCGTGCTAAAATACATGCAGGTACATACATACTTATGACAGAGTTATTAATTGGTGACAGAAATACACTATACGCACAAACGATTTTTTAAAATATATATCAACTTGTTTGAAATACTTATCTTTGCTTTTTGGTCCATTTTTCTACACAATAAAAATAAAAATGTAACAAATATGTTGTAGAACACTAAAGACCGAGGGAAAATGAAGTAAAGGAATGAAATTGTCTTATGTGCAATAATTATTTACGCATTCTAGGAATCAGACGGTTTCGCTATATCTTGTTGAACTTGTCTCCTTTTTAAAAAACCGGTTATGTCCCCTTGCGCTGGCTTTTCTTGATATTGCAGTATGATTTTTTTGTTGGTGTTCGGTGTTGCAATGAGACGTACAAGAGTTACCCAAAAATTTTTTAAAACTGGTTTCTGTAGCTGACTAAACCAATATTAGTGTTGACCTCTAAATATAACTCCCTAAAAAACATAAAAGGCCAGTGGAACTGCGTGATGAACGACGTACAGTTATACAAACCGGTACTTCACCTTCTGTAATATGACAAACGAAATACAAGCCCACTTTGACGTAACCACTAAACTACTATAGACAAACGTTCATGCATGCATTGTAGCAAGCAAACCACTAGGCAGATAAAATCAGAGGAAGAACCCAAATAATAACAATTAGGTGTTTATGCAATCAACCCTAAAAAACAGGTATAAACGGTATACGTCCAACTTAAGTTATAATACAGCATTTAAGATGGAGCTCCATCACATTATCTCTAAACCTAGATGTTAGGGTAAACGATGGAGGCTATTCCTTAGCATATATAGTCAAATCTTACTGTAGGGCCAGTGAAATTCCACTGAGCCCTAACCATTGAATCTCGAACAAAATCATCAATACTCGTCAATGTCAAGGACAACCAACGCGCATCAGTTAACCGTACGCCATGGACTGGCCCATGTGGCAGTGTTCTTACCTTCGCTTGTATCTTACTTACTTACTTACGCCTGTTACTCCTCGTGAAGGAGCATAGGCCGCTTACCAGCATTCTCCATCCAACCCTGTCCTGGGCAATCCTTTCAAGCTCTTTCCAGTTCTTATTCATCTTTTTCATATCTGCTTCTATTTCCCGACGTAATGTGTTCTTTGGCCTTCCTCTTTTCCGCTTCCCTTCAGGATTCCAAGTTAGCGCTTGTCTCGTAATGCAGTTTGATGCTTTCCTCAATGTATGTCCTATCCATTTCCATCGTCTTTTCCTAATTTCCTCTTCAGCTGGAAGCTGGTTGGTTCTCTCCCACAAAAGGCTGTTGCTGATGGTATCCGGCCAATGGATGTTGAGTATCATGCGTAGACAGCTATTAATAAATACCTGTACCTTCTTGATGGTGGTTGTTGTAGTTCTCCAAGTTTCAGCTCCGTACAGTAGAACTGCCTTGAGGTTCGTATTGAAGATTCTGACTTTGATATTGGTTGAAAGTTGTTTTGAGTTCCATATGTTCTTCAGTTGAAGGAATGCGGCCCTTGCTTTGCCAATCCTAGCCTTGACGTCTGCATCTGAACCTCCTTGTTTATCGACGATGCTTCCCAGGTATGTGAAGGATTCCACATCTTCCAGAGTTTCGCCATCAAGAGTGATTGGATTGCTGTTCTCCGTGTTGTGTTTGAGGACCTTGGTTTTCCCTTTGTGTATGTTGAGGCCTCCTGATGCAGAGACTACTGCTATGCTGGCTGTATTTATCTGCATTTGTTCGTGTGTATGTGATAGGAGGGCTAGGTCATCTGCGAAGTCCATGTCGTCTAATTGGTTCTGAGCTGCCCATCGTATGCCGTAGTTTCCCTCAGATGTCGAGGTCTTCATAATCCAGTCGACCACCAGAAGAAACAGGAAGGGAGAGAGTAGACAGCCTTGTCTTACTCCGGTCCTTACTTGGAATGTGTCTGTCAGCTGTCCTCCATGCACTAATTGCACTGTAGTCCATCGTATGAGTTCCGGATAATGTTGACAATCTTCTCAGGAACTCCGTAGTGTCGAAGAAGTTTCCATAACGTTCTCCTATCTACACTGTCAAATGCCTTCTCATAATCAATGAAGTTGATGTAGAGTGACAAGTTCCACTCAATTGATTGTTCGACGATGATCTGTTGTTGAATCTCAGTGATTGGTCTTCCTTCTTTGTCTTTGACTGGTCTCTCTGGTTTACTGTATTTCCCTGCAAGTTTCTTCGTCGTATCGTAAAGCTGTCTCATATTTCCTTCTCTTTCAGCTTTTTCCGCCGTCGTTGCTAGTTCTTCCACGTATTTTTGCTTATCAGCTCTAATGCTCTTCTTCACTTTCTTGTTTGCTTCTATGTACTCTGCTTGTGCTTGGACTTTCTCTGCTCTTGTTCGACTGTTGTTAATTACTGTCTTCTTGTTCTTCCTTTCTTTGATCCTGTCTAGTGTTTCTATAGAGATCCATTCCTTGTGATGATGCTTCTTGGGGCCAAGAACCTCTTGACACGTTGAAGTTAGTGCTTCTTTGATACCTTTCCAGCTATCCTCCATAGTAGTTTCTTCTTCCTTCAGTAGATCCTGTAAGGCTTGGAACCTCCTGTTGAGAGCTACCTTGAATTCATTGAGTTTGTCAGTATCTCGAAGGAAGGCTGTATTGAACCTTTGTGGTGCTGTTTGTCCAGTTGTCCA